CTCTAATCTAAAATATACTCAGAGTTAAAAAAATTAACTTCCCTAAAACAAATACTCAAAGAAAACAACAACCCAATTAATAGATGAGCTAGACTTAAAGAGACTTCTCTGAAGAAGAAATAAGAATGGTCATTTATTATTGAACATTATTAACCCTTCTCTTGTTTTTCTCCCACTGTTCCTTACCTACCCCATCTCCCCCCAAGCTGAAAAAGTTCATTTCCAACATAGTGTCTTGTGAGTATTGCTATTGTTTCACTATTCTGTTATTCCTGTTCCTTTTCCCAAATCAGATGAATGTATATACAAGATAGAGAGTACCAAAATCAAAAACAGTGACATCAGGGGATAAGCCAAAGGAAAAAAGAAATAGATTCACACAATACATTCAACACAACAACAAACCTATTGTTTCTATATCTTGGAGTTCATTTCAGTTAGCATCATTTTATATAGTCATATGTACATAGCTATTGAACTATTGTAATCCTCTGCTATAACTATCTTAGACATACGCTAATTATTACAAATGAGGAAAAGAACTGGGTCTGGCTTACTTAGTATGATTTTTCCAAGTCTTTACATTTCCATACAAATGGGGTGAGGTCATTCTTTTTAATGGAAACATAGAATTCCATTGTGTATATATACCACATTTTCTTGACCCAGTTATCTACTGAGGGGCATCTGGGCTGGTTCCGTAACTTAGCTATGGTAAATAATGCTGCAATAAGCATAGTTGTTTGTGTTCCTTTGAGTAAATGTCCAGGAGTGGGAAAGCTGGGTCATAGGGAGGCTTATGTTTAGTTTTATGAAGAACCCTCATACTGCTTTCCAGAGCAGTTGAACCAACTTACATTCCCATCACTAGTGTAGTAGCATTCCCTTTTGGCCACATCCCTGATATTATTTGTTTCCTTGATAATGGCCATTCGAATTAGGGTGAGGTAGAATCTCAGTGTAGTTTTGATTTGCATTTCTTTTATGTGTATTTCTTTTATGATCATTTCTTCATGTGTCTATTGGCTATTCTTATTTCCCCTTCAGAGAAGTCTCTTTTTAATTCTTTAGCCCATTTATTAATATGGTAGTAGTTTCTTTGAGGATTATTTTATTGGAGGGGTTTAATTTTTTGATCTGGCTCATTTTTTTAAGATTTATAATGATAAAATATGATTTTATAGTTCATTATTTAATTTATATGCTCATTAAGCAAGCATCTCAAAGTTTAGTTGCAAAAAAGCAAAGAGAAATACCATGAGCTAAAAGTTATGAAATATTGTTTCTTTTCTTCTTCTTCTTTCTTTCCTCCTCCTCGTCCTCCCCCTCCTCCTCCTCCTCCTCCTCCTCCTCTTCCTCCTTCGTCTTCCTCATCTTCCTCTTCATCTTCCTCTTCATCTTCTTCGTCTTCTTCCCCACCTCTCCCTCCCCCTCCTTCCCTTCTTCCTCCTCCTCCTTGTTCTTTTTGTCATGGAGCTTGAACTCTGAGCCTGGGTGCTGTCCCTCAGCTCTTCAGCTCAAGGAGAGTACTCTACCACTTGAACTACAGTGCCACTTCTGGTTTTCTAGTGGTTTATTGGAGCTAAGAGTCTCATGGACTTTCCTGCCTGGGCTGGCTTTGAACCGTGATCCTTAGATCTCAGCCTCATGAGTAGCTAGGATTACAGGCGTGAGCCACCAGTGCCCGGTTTCTTTCTTCTTTTTTGTGATCTGAGGCTTGAAGTAAGGGCTTAGCACTTGTTACACAGGTGATCCATAATTTGGCCCATATTTTCAGCCTAAGATCTGGGTTCTTTCTTGGATTCTATTCATAGGTAAGTTTTTCAATATCTTCAGCCTCAGTTTACTTAGCAATACCATGAGAATACTTGCTATTTCATCTTTTTCCATTCCACCTTAAAATGATAAGACCTGGTTTGTTTGTGTGTGTGTTTTTACAGGTAAACTAGGCTAAGATCTTTGGCACTTATTTTAGCAGGAAGAAAACACATTAATGAAATCTAATATAATGTACTAAATTGATCTAGGTAAATTGTATTTACTGGAGCATGGCTGAATTAATAGTAAAGTAAAAATTGTGGAATTATGTGTATGCGTTTCAGCTATATGGTCTTTTAACATGTTATATTCTCAAATGAAATAGAAATCATAGACAAGTATTATTTTCTTATGAGTTAGTATGGTATAATAGCTTGTTTCTTTTTTTATAAGGAATCAAGCAATTTTTATTCTCTTTTTGAGTACATTTATTTTATTGTCAAGGTGATGTACAGAGGGGTTACAGTTACATAAGTAAGGTAGTAAGTATATTTCTTGTCAAACTTATTATCCCTTCCCTCATTTTTTCCTACTTTTCCTTCCCCAACCCCTGCCCCAAGTTGTATATATCATTTCCAATATATTGTCTTGTGTATGTCACTGTTGCAGTGGTTCCCGCCTTGTCCTTTGTCTCACCATTCTGTTGTTCCCCTTCCCTTCCCTAATTCAAATAAACAAATATACATAACCAGGATACCAAAATCAAATACAGTGACAACAGGGGATACACTATAGAGGGAAGAACATATAAAAGAAACAAAAAAAATCACATAGTACATTAAAAGTAACAACAACAGAGAAAAACCTCTTGTGTTCATGTCTTGGAGTTTATTTTACTTAGCATCATCTTATATGGTCATATGTACATAGCTATTAAGCTATTCTGTTCATCTGCTAAGATTATCCTAGATGGATACTAATTATTGCAAATAAGAAAAAACATGAAACCTATGTTTCTTTGGGTTTGGCTTACTTCATTGAATATAATTTTTTCCAAGTCTTTCCATTTCCTAACAAATGGGGTGGTATCATTTTGTCTGATGGAAGCATATAAGTATGTATGCATGTATATATATACACATACATACATATATATGTACATATATATATATATTCCACATTTTCTAGATCCATTCATCTATTCATATGGGTTGGTTCCCTATCTTAGCTATGGTGAGTAATGCTGTGATAAACATAGTTGTGTTGGTAGCTTTAGTTTGGCCTTGTTTGTGATCATTTGGGTAAATGCCCAAAAGAGGGATTGCTGGGTCATAGGGAAGCTCTATGTGTAGACTTTTGAGGAACCTCCATACTGCTTTCCAGAGTGGTTGAAGAAGTTTACATTTCCACAAACAGTGCAGTAGGGTTCCCTTTTGGCCCCATCCCCTCCAGCATCTGTCCTTATTCGATTTCTTGATTAAAGCCATTCTAACTGGGGTGAAGTGGCTACAGAAGAAAAGGTAAATTTCTGAAACTTTCGTAAGGGAAAAGCATAATTGTACAAACTTTAACAAGGACAAATCTCAGGCTCCAGAGAATGTTCCAGATCTAGAGAATATCTAATATTATTTATGGAGACTTTTTTTGTACAAAGGCCAAAGATGTTTAGCCAATTTGAAGTTCTACCCCTTTGAGCTTCTACTCAGTTTAGGCTCTGTGAATCTGTGTAATATATTTTTTCTGCATATTTGTTGGACTTGCTACAGGATACTTTTGTCCAGTATATAGGTGATTAGAAGAAAAATTATAATCAAGTAGCCATTTTATTCTCTCTTCTCAGCTCCTAAAGACCACTGATCTCTTCTAGGTCACTTTCAATAGAGTTTTATGCTGTCAAAAGTGGCTTGGGCATAGAATATTTAAAGGACAAATTGTGATTGAAGAAGGAGAATCACTGATTTTTGTTAATCTTTTGAGAAAATCCAATTTTTCCCCAAAATGACTAGAAACAACAGATGGGATTTCCAGGTTGCTTTTCTTTCTTTTTTTTTTTATTGTGAAAATAACGTAGAGGGGTTATCATTACATGGGCAAGCGAATGAGTACATTTCTTATCAAGCATCGTTGCCTCCTCCTTTGTTTCCCCTTCCCACCCCTTCCTATCTCCCTCCTCGCCCCCCCCCCGCGCCAAAGTTGTAAAGTTCGTTTTTCGACATAACAACTTGTACATCTCATTGTTGCTATGGGTCCACCTGTACCCCTCAGTTAAACGATTTGTTTTTTCCCTTCCCCTCCACATTATACCAACATCAAATCCAGTGAAAGCAGGGGTTATACCGTGGAGGAGGGACATATAAAGCAACAAAGAAATTATCTTATAAATATGTTAGAAACAATCGCATGAAAGAAAAAAACATTTGAATATTTATCTTGAGGTTCATTTCACCTAACATCAACTTTTCTGCTTGTCTCAGAAATATACTAGTTATTGCAAATAAGGGAAACCATGGGACCTATGTTTCTTTGGGCCAGGTTGCTTTTCTTTTCTCAGTAAAGATAAGAGAAACAAAGAACTTGGTAAGTCAATGTTTGTACCTAGAAATCTGCCATTCATTTCGGTAGGTAGGAAGGAGAGGGATAAAATTATTAAGTGACAGATGTGGATTTTTGAAACCCTTATCTAAGGTTCACTATTACTTCTTTGGAGTAATAATGACCTAGAGAAAAACGAAACATAATGATGCTAAAATGATATTCAAGTAATATGTGGTAGATAGTCAGAAGTCCAGGATGAATAAAAGTATAATTCCCAGTCAGAGCCTAGGAAATATTTTGTTAAAATACTGGCTCCAATTTAGTCTGTAAAAAAAAGCTATATGTAACAGGATAATGAGAATGATCTCTAAGTTCTTATCATTTGTTTCCCCAAAGTAGTAAGTTTGGAGAATTAAAAGCAGACTATTAAAGACAAAACTGTAAGAATCTGTGTGTGGCTCGAAGATGGACATTCTAACACTTCCTGTTCAGATGTATGCCATTCTCACGTTATTTTGAGGATATCATGTTTAGAAGAATCTAATGGCTAATGGTTTTCAACAGGAGCCTTTACAATGAAAAGATGGAAGCTAAACTTTTGCTAATAAGATATTCAGCCAAACCAACAACAAAACTTTTAAAAATATCTTTCAGACATTTTAAGTATCTACAAAGCACTTACTTTATAATTAATAAATTTCTCATACCTGGAATGTTATATAAAAACTCCCATAATTGCTCTTCTTCCATGTAGGCCACAAAAACATTTCCAAATGTTTGTGGAGAAAGATTGCAGTGGTATAGTACTTTAAAGGTGGCTTCTACTACACTGGGTGCTTGGTTCAGATTATTTTCTGTCTCAGAAGCTTGTTCTTGAAAGTTGCATTCTTGAAAGGAATACAAATGATAATAAAGCAAGCATCAGTGAATGTGATTAAATTCTTCTGTTAGCCTATCATTGACACTGTGAAATGTGTGTGATCAGTATTTGGATAAAAAGACAAATACCACTTTCTTTCAGTTTATCTAGTCTAATATTATGTCTGGGATACTCATGGATATTTATTGACAAAAACAAATAGCCACCAAGGGCAATGCTAGCTTCCTGTATTCAGAATTGTTCTTTCTTTTAAGAAAAAAATTTAAGAACTGGTTCTCACTTAAATGTTATTCACATTCACTCTGGGAATTATTTTAAAAATTGTATCAAGGAGTAGTATATATTTATAACATTTTATGAATATGACAATTCTGTAAAATAAATTTATGGACATTTCTCAAACTCAATGACACTGTTATTTCACAATGAAGATTTTTCCCATAGATTTGTCAATAAAACTATATAAGCAAGACCATATAAATAAGGCTATTTTTTGTCTTTTATTGGAATTTTTATTATTATTGTAGAGTTAATATACAGTGGGGTTACAGTTATATGAATCAAGTAATTACAATTATTTTTGAACCCTTCCCTTGCTCTCTCCTTCTTTTTTCTTCCTGTCCCCTCCCACAAATACAGTTCATTTTCCACATAGTGTCTACTACTATTGTATTTGTTTACCCTATGTTCCACGTTTTCTGTGACCTCCTTACCCTCCCAAATACAATCTAACTAACAAGACAAAAGGAAAAGAAAACAAAAACAGCAACAATGGCAACTAGAAACTATCTCATTTTGTTTTCTTGGAGTTCATTTCATAAATGATTATTATATAATCGTATGTACATAGCTAAACTGGAAGCTGTTGTTATAGCCACTCTGAAAAAAATCTTGCCTAAGAATGAATGTGCTGCATGAAAAATCAAGTCCAAAAGATGAAAAGAGGATCCTTGAAGAGATAGCATTATTGGAAAATGTGCGTTCAGAACTGCCTATAGATATATGTTAGCTGAACTTATTTGGATAAATCAAGTTAATTTTGATTTCTGTGACTTACCTTCAAAAGGATCCTAATGTTTTCCTTAAATCAAGAATTAAATGGCAAATATATTTTTAAGTAAGTCAGGCACCCATAATTTCATTTTTTAAATCTAAACAATCTGAAGATATACTTTCTGTTTCTCTAATTCATGTTACATATAATAATTAATTACCCAGAGAAGGGGGGAAGAGAATAACAATTTTGAAATAAATTTCAATGATTTACAAAAGCAGCATGAAGAACCTCAATGAGATAGGTGTTGGTGGCTCACAGCTATAATCCTAGCTCCTAGGAGTCTGAGATCCAAGGATCACAGTTCAAAGCCAGACTGGATGGCTACGTTCCCCATGAGACTCTTATCTCCAATTAACCAGTCAAAAATACGAAGTGGTGCTGTGTCTCAAAGTGGTAGAGTGCTAGCCTTGAGCAAAATTGCTCAGGGACAGTGCTCAGGCCATGAGTTCAAGCCCCATGACCAGAAAAAAAAGAATTTCAATGAAAAATACTACTTAATGGGAGTTGGAAGGTTTGGGGGAAGAGAAATAGGTTCTGTGGTTGGGTACTAGTGGGAGGAGGTTGGGCTAATAGGATGATGTAAGAAGAAAAATATTCTCAAAGGAAATGTTTTCACATCTATAAAAATAGAACAATAAAACCTGTTGAAATTGGTTTGGGAAGGGGAAATGGGAAAAGGAGCATAGTAAAGGGGGTGAGATTGGAATATATTATAAACACATATAAAAATGTAGCAATTAAATCCCCCATGGAACCTATAAGCTCATTAAAAAAATTATACTAGCCAATTATCCCTGATATCATCTCCATGTCTAAATCTTTGCAATACTCTACTGAGTTGATGATCCAGAATTGCCACAATGTTGTTTTTGTTGTTGTTGTTTCAAATTTTGATTCCATCCCCCAAAATGTGTTCTACATAGAATGGTTTATTTGCTATTGCTTTAAAATATGTTCTTCTGTCTTAATTTTGTTGCCTATGGTAATACCTCCTCTAATGTAATATCCTCTAAAGTATCAATAATGGATTTACTGGTTGCCTGCTAACAATTTATCTGTCATTGGACAAAATTTTGAAGTCTTTACCTTCCCAGAACTCACTGACTGTACGCGCGTGCACACGTGTGTGTGTGTGTGTGTGTGTGTGTGTGCTTTTCTAGAAAGAGTATGTAGACTGCTAAATAATCACTATAGCAAGGTTACAAACAGATGAAGTAACTGCCTTCTGCTTAGCCTGGAAGAGTCTTGGCGATGTCAGCAGTTCTGGCATAAAAATCTATTATCATCTTTCTTAGAAGCAACCCAAATTGGATGATGTTGTTACTACCTAATACTAAGTGCTATAAGTATGAGATACACAGAAATGTACAGAATGTTTGTTTGCATTATTTTGACGAATCACAAGGAAGTCACAGAGAAGTTCATATTGTAGCCAAGTCTGTAAAAAGTAGGAAATTATCATTATGATGAAGTGAGATAGGAAGAAGAGTTGATGTAATGGAGAGAAAAAGGCACTCCATTATGTGACTGTTGAGCAAAGAGGGAAGTAGAGCTAGATGATCAACAATATGTGAGTAAAAACAAGTAACAATGCACAGGGGGAGGGGGATGAATAAATGGAAGATATTTCTATACAGTTCTAATAATTTCTATCTCTCTCTCTCCTTTGTCTCAGACTATTCTATTTGTTTCCTTCAGAGATTTCCACTTTTTTGAAAACATCAAATTTGTGAAGTTAGTTGTCTTTGTAGACTGAAGTGGAGAAAGAAGAAAGAAAAGCCAACTCTATTGAATAGTTATTAGCTTTAATGTCATAAAGTATCTATAGGCCTCCCAAAGTAAAACATTGACTACCATGGGGAAGTATGTGTCCCATCCAGAGGGCAGACAAAAGAATTTGGATGAGTTAGAGAGAAGAGATGCTCTGAGACAGGACAGAAACCTCTGGGTCTAGAAGACGAAAGCATCTGCCTTGGTTGTCTGGCTTGCTTAGGAATGCTTACCTGGGTAAGGGAGGCACCGAGGGAAATTAGATCCTTAACCACATCAAAGGTTTCAGCCAAGGGGACTGCTGCACTCTGAGAAACCATGAAGAGAGGATCTTAGCCCTTTAGGGAGATCATATAACTGAGGCTCACTAAGCCTCTCTGGGGACGAATGGAAGCCCTAAGAATATCTAGGGTTAAATGCCAAATAAGATAGGTCTCAGCACCCTCATAAAGTTGACTTGAATACAAGAAGTTACTTTGACAATTCTTGCACATCTGAATTTAAAAATTGATATTCATATCTGCTCCCTAAAAAGTGAAGCTACTATATACCAAAGTACTTAATATATGCCAAACATCACATAAGCTGCTTTACATTTTATTTTATATTCAAAAATACTCTATATATGTCAATTATCCCACTTTTAGAAATGAATAAAGTAAAATTGAGAGGAATTAAGTAACTTAAACCAAGGTCACAAAGATAGTAAATGTTTGCTTTTACTGTTTGCATTATACTATAATCTCTCATTTTTCAAAGTGTGCCTTCACATTACGGAAATGTGTTGTCTTATAGCAAAAAAATTTCATGTAGCATTCCAAATCTTCATATACATAATTCTTACATTTCTAGTACTATTTTATTATGATTTTTATTATGTATATTTTTATGTATTAAGTGTCTTTAGATGTCTTCTAAGAGTAACTGCTTAGTATTACAGGCTAACTAATATTTTTGAAGAGAGGGCTTTAAAAGAAGGAAGGAAGGAAGCAACAAAAAATTGATCTTTTGAGTATTGTTTTCCTAGGGTTAGATCCACCTAAAAATTGGTTATATGGAATTGCATTGACTTTACCTCATGTCCTGAATAGGTGCTCTAAATTTCCACCCACTCTTTTGAAATTCTATTATCTCTTGATTTACTACATATCTATTCTATTATTACTTGATTTACTACATATCTATTTTGGTAAGCTATTCCTTTCTTACCATCTAGAATTGGGGTTAGCAAACTTTCCCTATACAGGACAGATAGTAAATACTTTACCTTTGAGAAGCCATTTGGACTTTATCTCAATTCTGTTCTACCCTGTAGTACATAACCAGACACAGACAATGTGTAAGTGAAGGGTCAACATGATGTTGGGATAAAACTGACTTTAAAAAAGGGGGTGATCCTGCACCAGAATCAACTCCAAATGGATCAAAGACCTCGGAGTCAAAGCAGACACCCGGAAAA